TCTTCAAGGATTTATGGCTAAACCAGTAGAGGAATAACTTGATAATTGATTTCTTTCAACATTTCCAACCAATTTATTTGTTTTTCCCGCGAAAGGCTTCAAGGTATGAGAGTTATTATTCTTTCGTCTTTTATGCTCTGACCTGTGATTTATTGCAATTGTTTTTCTCTCTGGCGCTGATGATTCCAATCATGAAGGCGCATCATCAATATTTGGACATAATTTGAGGCAATCTACGCGATAAAACATTCTATCTTATCTGACAATTACTTTCCAAAGTATAAATTTGATTTTGGCCAAAATATTTCATTGATTTACCCTGCGATAATTTCTGCAATCGTTCACATTCTTTGAAGAGTACTCAGAAGGATGATAAGAAGTGGTTTCCGGAGATTATTTTTTACTTAGCAAGTTCCAAGAGGAAAAGTCACTAGTTGATTTATCTCTTAAAAGTCTCAATCAAATATTTAAATATTGATTTTTACTTTCTGTGACAAATTTGTAATTCTTTTTTGTTTTTTTTTCATCTATAGCATTTTTATTTATAACATTATCTCACACTATTTAATGAAGAAATTAAATTTTTGTACCATAAGCAAGTTTTCCCTGGTTTGGTCGGAGAGTAATTTTGAATTTGAGGTATAAAATATGAATAAATGTTCTGCAAATATTACAAATGCAAACATATTCTTTACTCGAACGCCTCGAACTTGTTCAAAAGATATCAAATACTGAATTTTTGTAAACACACATCATTTTTTTTGGAATGTTTGTGCCACAGAGGAAAACCACCTAAACTGCCAATTTAACGTGAAGAAATCTCCTAAAATGACAAAACTACAATGTGTTAATTATTACGGCCTCGTCGCTATTCCAGGTGGAATTTATTTACCAATTGACTCAATTTCATCGCATTATCATTTTACAAACGTGCTCTTCTGTGGGCGTCTCTCCGGAGGCCAAGCGCACTTCATTCAGCTTCTTTGCGTACAAAATGGCAACACAACATTCAGCATTGATCGACTGTCGATCAATTGGCGCAAGATTGCGGGCAAAGAGTCGCTGAATGAAGTGCGATCGTGAGTTGAGGAAGTGGCATTTTATCAATTGAGATTATTTGGGGACGGAAAATACAATTCAGCCCACTTCTTCGTGCTCTGTCGATGTGTGTGTGCAGAAAATTCCTCAGCTTTATCTACTGAAGCATGAATCGTCGGAGTAAATTTGATCATCTTCGCGCTGTGGCGCTATTATTTTTTGTGTTTCTGTATGCAAATCAGCTGGCATTTTTTTCGTCGCGGGCTCTTCGCGAAGGAGGATCTTTTGGAGGCAAATATGGAGGAAGCAAAAGAATATTTCACGTTGTTTATTTTCATCAATTCCTTTTTGCGATGGCGCGCGCGATCTTTTATGCAAATTCCACGACGGTCTCTGGACTTTTTTATTGCCCTGTCCATTTAATCTAATTAAGAAAATAAAACACGGGTTTGCAAATTGTTTCTCAGCGACTTGCGCGGACTGATCGTGATTGCAATTAGGTATGGAAAGAAGCTCAATTTGAGACGCGCACTTGTGATCTTCTTTTATAACCAATTAAGAGCGATAATGAGTGAAAAATCATCAAGACAAGAGTCTCAATTTGCTTAGACGTGATCGTGACTGTGTGAAATTTATGCATTTTCAGCGTTGAGTTTCTCTCCCCAATTTTCCATGATCTCCCGCCAACCCTCAGTGAAATTCATCAGCCAAAAAGCACAAAATATATAACATGAATTATTTATCGATAGAAATTGTCTCTCCACAATTCCTCGCGCGCGCACAGCTGAAATTTATCAACCAAAAACACCTACAAAGAAAACGAGCAGAATTGTGTAAGATTGCGAGAGGAGAGTTTTTGAATAAATTTTTGAGAAATATACACTTTTTTCTCTCGTAATAAATTCCTCTACGCCCTCGAAAGCACTTGCAAATTTGCATAAATGTGGATGCCAATTAAGATTCAGACACTTTTCATCTACTCTAAACCCAGAGTAAAACGCAGCCAATGATCATATTTTCCACAACACTTGACTTTGATTGAAGGCAGAAATTGAAAACATACTCTAGCGATCTGTGACCTGCCAAAAAGGTCAGTTGCATTCAATTACCACCATCGCGATCGCTGAGTGCATATTTTTTCATCAAGTGATCACATGTGTCCATGTGAGAAATTTAATATCTTGACATTTACATGGTGAATCTCTCGCACTATCTCAATCTCCGGTTTATTTATCTACTATGAGATGAAAAAATGCTGTTTGACGATGAAGAAGAAAAAAGTCTCCAGCGGAGAGAACGAGTTTCAAGGTCTTTCCTCACCACGATCGCGAGCTGGGTGTCTCTGTCGTTGGCGTGAATTAGAATTTAATCACCTATTTGCCCAATGGACTGAAATATCCATTGCTATTTGACGGCATCTCGCCATCTCGCTCGGCTCCTCAGCGGTGATCTTGCATAATGATCGAAGACATGGCAAGAAGCAGCACACGTCTTTTTCACAAAGTCACTCTCCATCGTGCCGAGTGTGTTCAAACAATAATAAAAATATTTCTATGTTCGCACCATCTCACCCACAGACCCGAAAAAATTAGCTCTGTACTCGAAAAAGTCAAGACAATGTTCCAATTGAATTTCTAAGATTTTGATATTTTTGATATTTACAATTTTGGACTTTTACAGAATGATAAACAAATTGTTTCACTTCATTTTCTAGTTTACTGACTTTAAATGTTGTTTGCAAATAAAAGGACGAGACAAACAGAGGTAATCTGCCCTGATTAGTTGGAAACAGGTTAAAAAGTCATTAAGTGGTGAAAGGGACGATAATCCCTTGGGTAATCCTACGCTCCGGTGCCGCAGGTAGGCCGACGACAGGCCTATAAAAGACCAGCTCGACGGCAGATCTGCACATTCAGTCTTCGGCACCAGAGCAGAACGGTTGACTCAACTTCTTCTCTCTAAAGCAAAAGCCTGCAGACTTAGTCTTTCCACTATGGATTCATTCGTCGATCAGCGTTCTTCCACCCCTCTTCACTTCCTGGAGGACTCCTCCATGGACGTGTCTCACATCTCCGCCCCTCCCCCGCCCCCGCCCCTGCCCCAAAATATCCCACCCTGGGTGTTCATCCTCGCTCCGGCGCTTGCGGCACTGCCCATCGTTGGCGTGGATGAGCCTCTGTTCCATCAGAACTTCGAGCACGACAGCGCTATTGACTGTCCGCCCTTCCTGGAGTCCGACCTGGACTTCTCCGCATCCACTTCCGATTCGGAGAGCTCCACGTCTGACTCCGAAGCCCCACCCGCCCACGCCCTGCCCCACCCCTCGCAGATCTCTTGGTAGACTGCCGCCCCCGCCCCTGCAGACCTCCCCGAACCACGGACGCTCGACGACAAGGGACTCTGTCCCGCTTTGGCAGTCAGTCCCTGGCGAGGCTTCGTCCTCGGACCAGGGAAAGTGCCCATAGCACCTCCTCGCGGTGGCTGCTGGCGACCGGATCCGCTCCCCAGGATCCGGGACTAAGCTATGGGTGCGCCTTCTAACCAACTAACTAACACCTTTCAGTCGATCCATTGCCCTAAAACCGTAAATATTTCTACTCACAAATTTTTAAAATACTAAACAAAATACTTTAAATTCTGCTTTAAACATACTGATAATGGCTACTTCACCTTCACATTCATGTATGAATGCCTCATCTTTCGTGACGACGGACTTCAGCTTGGGTCCCCCTTAAAACCATGTTCAGTCACTTTTTTCGCGGGCGTGCGCCGTTGAGAAATTTCTTGGATGACTTAACACTCGATTTTAGTGGCTTAGAGACTTCACTCTCGTGCCTAATTGAAGTGCAGTCATTCGCTCGGCAAATGACTAATTTATGCACCCGCAGCATCAAGTAAAGAAAGTCTAATCTTGTGCCACTGACACGTTTCACATCAAAATTGTCTCCCTAAACAGTTCGTGGAGACGCAAATCATGTGTGAAATGCTCTTTGATTTGGCGCTGTGGGTCAAGGCGATAGCGAGAGGTGTCGCCGAAAAAAGATTTCATACGTGATCATGCTGTTTGTGGTGGCGCGATCTTGCTTTAAGATCAAAGTGTTGCCCAAATACCGTCAAATATGTCTTGCAAATGGTTGAAATTTGCAATTTTTCTGGGCTTTTACGGATTTTTCTTCATATCTTTTCAATTTTGTGAGCAGTAATGCGATGAAATATTTCTTTCGAAGTGACTTTCACTGGTGTATTTCACTTTATCTTACATAAAATTTATGCATTTTGCAAAATCTTTAGCAATAAGAATGTTACATCCCACATTTTTCATATGCAAATACCTCCACAATGAATCTCTTGAATCACTCCAATTGCCGTAATTGTGTTATTGTTTGAATAATGATATCTTCTCGTCTAATTATATTTATCATAAACATGCCCCGTGATGTGCCGCAAAGTGATAAACTCGCCCATTTTCTGGGTTTATTCTTCACAATCTTGCAAGCTCACAAGACTTTTCCTTTCTGCGTGAAACACAATTGCTATTCACCAGAGTGTTTTGTTGAGTATGACGTTCAATATGCCAATTTGGTCGGGCCAAAGCCACCATCAAGGCTCTTTCAGACATTCTTTCCGGCCTGATTGGTTGGCAAAGATTTGTTTTTGAGTGGATTTATGACTTCTCCAGGTATTTTACACGTTTCTGCATCTTTGAGGTGCGATCGTGATCCGTTGACATGACTTTGGTTGGGAAATGCATGGAAAATCTCGTAGTTTTCCATCTCAAGATCGACTGCAAACAGATGGAATCGTGTGTGTGTGTGTTGTGAGTGGAGTCGATGCGACAAATTGTGCTTCAATTGAACATATTTATGGATTTGTTTCAAGGACAGCCAATCTTGTTTCATGCTTGAGGGAAATCATGAGAAAAACCCATCGTTTCGGTGGTGTTTCAGCCCCAATTTACTTACGCATTGCACTCTCATAGAGCATCGTATCCATGTTTTTTTGGGCGTCGAAACTGCGTCTCAGGCACAAAATTTTCACGTGAGCTTTTCACTCGAGTAACACCGCACTTTTGCAAATATGCTGGAGGAGGTGAAAGAGTGTGGATTAGGTCATCTTCTATTTTCTGTCACGCGGCGCGCCGTTTCTATGTTTGTCTTCTGTGGGGCGGAGGAAAAATTGAGCTTTTCCAACAGGCACAGGTGAATGTTGTGATGGTGAAAATCGATTAAACACGGTCAAGAGACACACAAAAAAGTGGCGAAGCAGAAAATAGTGTCGCGTGCGGTGGGCATTGATTAAACAAACCCATGGAAAATTTTGTCGTTGCTGAGGAAAACTTCCCAGGGCGGCAGATTCGCCACAAACACAGGGTCACAAAAAGGGCACTATCTGCTCAGACGGCAGATGTTCCGCGCGCGCGACTGCTCAATCTACCTGCCCGCACGACACTGGAGTCAAGATAAACCACACAGTCGCTACCTGGCCGCTTTTCCCTAACACACTCGCGTGGCGGTGCATTTGTTGGCCCCTCATCATCACTATGGTGATAATATTTGTTGAGAATTGTGTCGCAATTGGCGATTTTCAGTCAATATTCATGCTAGATTGCATGCAATGGTCAGTTTTCCGCGGGTTTTCCGGTGAAATGGGGACTTTTCAGAGTGTCTGTGGGTGATCTCAGCAGGGCAACGTGGGAAGAAAGACCTGCCTTGGCGCCAAATGTGAGCTTTGAGTGAACTCAGCAAATGTGGGTAAAACAGATCGAGATCATGAGTTATGTAATGAGTTCAGTTGACACAGAGAGCTTTATCCAAACGTTGAAAATACACATTCAAGGCGGTGAAAGAAGGCAGAATGCTCGAAGTCAAGTTAATGAGCATGTAGCAAACAAAGCAATAAATCATTAACTAATTAAACTCCGATCTTTCGTCGTTATGCTCTTTCTTAATCACCATTAATGGCTTTATTGCACTTCAGCCATTTATGGGGTCATAATATTGACTCTTAAATACATTGAAATGTTGTGATAGATTGCAACATTCCTCCTTGTCAGGATATTAAAAGAAAGAGCGAGTTTTAGAGGCTGAAAACTTGTTGATTTTACACGAACTGTGATGTTCCGCATTTTCACATCAAATTTCCGGCACTTTTCCAGCGCCAGGAGCAAACTCACTCTCTGCACCGAAAAGGATGGCGTGAGGAATATAGTTCTGAACAATCCCAAAACCAGGTACTCACCAACTTCCGAAATTCTCTACTTCTCCACCGGATTCACTGTTTCCACACTGATCACTCTGATTTTTGCAGGAATTCCCTGTCGCTGGAGATGATGCGAGATATCCTTGAGGATTTAACGAGGAATCTTGAGGATAAATCGCTCAGAGTGATAGTCTTGTCTGCCGTGGAGAGTCCTGTCTTCTCTGCTGGCCATAATCTCAAGGAATTGGCTCCTGATATGGGCGAGGAGGTGCACAAGGAGGTCTTCAGAGTGGCCAATGAGCTCATGATGGCTATGATTGACGCTCCAGTGCCGATTGTGGGGAAGGTTGATGGCCTAGCAGCGGCTGCAGGATGCCAACTGATAGCCAATTGTGATATGGTTGTGTGTTCCTCGAGGAGTTCCTTCTCAACGCCTGGGTAAGACGCCAGGGATTTTTCTCAAGAATTTAAATATGATCCGATTTGTTGAATTTCAGGGCGGCGTTCGGAGTTTTTTGCTCTAGTCCGGGAGTTGCAGTGGCCAGGAAGGTGTCTAGGATGAAAGCGGCTCAGATGCTCTTCACTGGACTTCCGGTGTCTGCCCAGGAAGCCCTCAGTTGTGGTCTGGTGAGCTCTGTGGTGCCTCAAGAGGATCTGGATGCAGAAATTGAGAGGATTTGCCAAGCGATTTCTTCGAAGAGTCGCTCAGTCATTGCTCTGGGCAAGAAGTTCTTCCATCAGCAAATGGAGATGGGCACCAAAGAGGCCTTCGTGGCAGCGGGAAACGTGATGGTGAGGAATCTGGCGGAGCCTGATGGCCAGGAGGGTGTGAAGAGCTTCGTGGAGAAGAGAAAGCCGATCTGGAAGCACTGAGATAGGCCCCGAAAGTGGCAGAAATCTCTTCAAATTCTGCTTTATTTCGCGTCTCATTGGGACACTCAAGGATTTTACATGATTTTCTTCATTCAATTTCAATTTACAATGTTTTTTTTTTCTCCCTATAGAAGTGACTAAAAAGATTATACATTGAGTGTGGTTTTGAGAAGGGAAATCATCTTTTTTTTTGGGGGGGAATTATATAGAATGAAGGAAATATTTGAGATTCTTTTAAACGTCTTTCACTAAACTATTCTCAATTTCTTCAAAATACAAATAATGCCTTCGTTGCGCCTCTTATTGTGGCTCCTTGGCTTTGGAGGAATTTAAAAAGTGTGTCATCAGCGCTCCGAATTAACTAACATGACCTGTCAAAGTTTCATTTTATAGTTACATTTAAGTGATATATATATTATATACTCGATTATACAGTTTCATCATCTTCAAATCTACCCGAAAAACTCTCAGCAATTCACTAGATCGAGGGGCGCGAGCCCGAACTCATCAAAGGACATTTTCATCTTCTCTGGAGTGTCTTTTGCACATAAATTATCACGCACTAGAATTATTAGATTTCGACTTGACCGACGATCCGGGGATGGAGTTGTCGAGGACAAAAGTTGGACTCTGTTGGGATGTGGACGCAATTGGTTGGTAGTGATACCCTTGGCGATTGCGATTGCTCGACTTTTGGGGGTTTCCCAGCGTTGGGGCCTTGTTGAAAGCCTGATCTGGACGTTTGGCTGCCGAGAGAGTGGAGAAATTCGTTAGTTCTGCTGTGAAAAAGATTGATTTTCATGTTGGTTCTCGACAGTGTGCCTTGGCTAAACACAGTGACGATCGTGAGAATACGACACTTTTCATATTTTAAACATTTCATCAACAGTGTAATTTTGTGTGAATTATTTCTTGTTTTAAAACAAACGTTTTAATGGGAAGCTCAAATTCCTTTTCGTTCTACAAGAAATTAGCTTTGACGGATTGCGGTGAAAATTTTCCCTCCTGTTGCGCAAAAATCGATTTCAAAACTTAAGCATTTAAACAGATAATGCGGAAAATAGAAAGTCGGATTATGATTATGTTGATAACTCGTTCAAGAAGCCAGCCTGATGATCAAAAGGCGCTCTTTACCTGCATTTAAGTCTAAACTAAGTCTTTGTCTAAACAAACACAAAAGCAATGTTGTTACAGAAAGATTCAAATTCCTAATTGACTCATCGCTGAGCACTCTTCTTACCGGGTATGTAAGGCTTCTGGTTGCAAATCGACGCCGTGGGCGTCGTGGCCTTGATCAGCGAGTTGTGGGAATTGGGGCCGTCGGTGTGGGTGTGATTGGGCACTTCGGACGTGCTGAGTGGACTCAGCTCACGGTCCAGCGCTTCGCTCGGGTCGTCCGGCACTTGGCGGTACTTGGACGGGCACTGCGTGAAGGCGGACAGCAGGAAGGCCTCCAGGGCGCACACGTAACCGATGATCTACAAGACACGGCAATCAGAGAGTCTGAGCGTTACAGTATCGACAGAGACTTACGGCAGAGACGAAAAGGGTGTCTTTGGTGTGCCGCGGCACCCAGATGAAGGCCTCGGCGAAGAGGACCATGTGCAGGAGTAGGGACGAGCCCAGGATGAAGATCAGGCCGATGCTGAGGTACAGCCAGCCGTTGACGCGCGCCCAGTTGAAGGGCAGCACGAGGGCGATGTGGGAGATGTCCAGGAAGAGCATCAAGCACGTGAGGAGGAGCGAGAAGAGGGCGCAGAACACCATTAGGCGCAGGCGTCCGATCAGGGGCAGCAGGAAGAGGCCCACCTGGACAGTTCCGGCCGAACACTCGCATGCCAGGCAGATGGCCGAGGAGACCTGCAAAGAAGGCGCGTGAGGAAGTGCTGGGGACATTGGAGACAGAAAGAGACTCACCACAAGCAGGATGCGCACGATCCCCGTGGGAGTCTTGAGGTGCGTCGTGTCGCAGTGCAGCTGAACTCCTCCCCAGGGCACCTGCATGTTCCCCAGCCTGGCGCGGTACTGAGCGTGTGAATCCCACGAAGTCACGGTGCCGAGCGGCGACTCGAGAGATATGGACAATTCTCCGGCTCTGCTGCCAGCGATTTCAAAGTCCTGCAACAGGAGAAGGACAGGCTGTCAGCATATCTGATCGCCAGGAGTTCTTATGTGTATTTCGTGATGAGGTGAGTGGCAAATGGACTGTGTTTGCATGGCGTGAGGGAGACTAAAAATACTGTTTCTATTTCTACCATTCCATAGAAGGATTAAAAAATGACCTGAACTTCCTTAAAGTGTGTCCTCAACTGTAGAATGTGTCTTAGGAGGGAAATCCATATTTAAAGTCAAAGAATTTAGAACATAGGGTGTTTCACTGAGACTGCAAACGATTTGGTATTTAAATCATCATCACTGTGAATGTTAAATGAAAACAAAAGGCACATTCTGTGCGTTTGCAAATTAATTTTCTACCATTCTCACATGATTAATGGTGTCAATATCTCGCAATGGAACACCCTATAACACGTGTGAACTTTATGAAAATGCCTCAATTTTCTTCTCCTCAAGAAGCTATTTCTGTACCTGGAAAATGACACCTTTTCCCCACCGAAACAAACATCAATAAAATTGCTAATGAATGAACTGGTCAATTAAAAAGAAAGCCCGCCTTAGTGAATTCAAGCGATGGGGTGGTTTTTGGTGGAAGTAAAAAGAGCGCCAGTTTGAGGCAATTTTGTGTGTCACGGGAGGGCGAAGGGCATCAGAAATCGATGAATGGCACAGTGTAAATAGGGACTTTTTGTGCTCCTTCCAATTAACCTAATTGCTCCGGAGCGGCAAGAGTGCATGGAAGGGCTGACTTTCGCTTTCTCTACCCCGCCTTTTCACGCACTTGGGGTTTCCCTTGATGGTGATGGAGTGAAAGTGCAATACTCACGTGCGGACTCTCTACACACTCGTCATCGTGTACCTGAATATCTTCTAGCTGACAGCAGGCCGGCTCTAAGTCTCGTATTTCTTCCAGCAGAAACTCTATCTCATCCGTCCCGTACAGATCAGAAACCGATGGCATGTACCGGGGTTGTTGCATTTCTCGCGGGGGTTCCAACCCCCATCACCGGGTCCAGGCACTTCCCGCACGCGCCTCAAGCTGTCCTCGGGCGCCCTGCAAGACAGTGCGCGGCCTTCAGTCACTGCACCACCAGCAAAGTGACCCCCAAAAGGCGCGCCCCAGCGGGCGTCCCAACACGCGAAAACCCACGGCAACAGTGCAGAAAATCACTGCGGAGGAGCACACACGCGAGGGCCCGCGGCCAGTGATACCCCCAACCCATTTCTGGCTCACCTGCAATCCACACCTCAGCCGGATCACTCACAGCACAGCGATTGTCCTCACGGGAAGCCGTCCGCTCGCGATTTTGCGACAGAAACACTGGCAACTGGATGCTTGAGAGGCGCCATTGAGGGATATTTTGCGACCATTTTACCAGGGAAAATTTCACGGGAAATTCCACAAGGAAGGACTTAACACTTCCTTGTAGTGAAACTGACACGAGTGCTCGGCAAAATGCATTAGAAAGGCACTTTTGGCCTCATTTCCCCCTCGAAATTCACCCTCTTGCCATTTCAATGCCACCGGAAAGAGAAAAGGAAGGGAGAATAATGTGAAATATAGCAGGAAAAGGGACAAAGAAGCATTGAGCAGATGTTGTGTAACACCCTGTGGAAGATATGAAAGAAGGGTGGAAAATTGAGAGGGAAATTTCCCCTCGATTTAGAATGGGAGTAGCAAAGACACTCGATTTGTAGCAGAAAATCATACACTGATAGAAAAATATGGCTTGAGGATTGAATAAACGCAAAATTTTACGCTCATTTCTTTAATTTTAATCTTAAATTTTAATTTGATTTGCTTCAAGAAGAGCACATCCTGAGAACATCCTGAGAACCTCGCCTTTCTAGGTCAAGGACAATGCGGGGGCTAGTAAAAGTCGCACTTTAGCACCGAAAACTGAAAGAAAGGCCTTTATTTCCTTCCGGCAACAATATTACTGAGTGTGATGTTATTCGTAAAAACGGGGGCGGCATTAATGTTGAGGTGCTGGGATTCGGGGTGCTGAGGCCAGGTTTAGTGCGGGGATGATTAGACTTCGGTGACGGGTCGCTTCTCCACCCAGGCCTTGATGCTCTCGATGGCCAGCACGTTGTCCACCACGGCCTTGAGGTTGGGGTACTTCTCCGTGAGGTCGGTCTTGGTCATGTAGTTGAGGTAGTCGATGATGCCGGCGAAGTACAGGTCGGCCCACGTGAGCTTGCCGAGGGCGAAGTGTCCCTTGTTCTCCCTGGCGATCACGTCCAGCTTCTCCAGGTAGAAGGGAATGACTTCGTTGTTGAGTGTGACCAGCTTCTTCTCCTTCACATCATCATCGGGCTCGTACGAGACGACGGCGATCTCTGCGGGAAATTGCAGGCATTAGTCTTGGGGTTGATTGGTTGAGGGGTGGCAGTTGAGCTACTCACTGAGGCGGAAGTCATTGATTGTGTCCACCACAATGTCGATCTGCATGTCCTCCCACGCGTCCGCCCCAACGAGACCCACTTGCTTCGCCAGGTAGCGCGCCATCGAAATGCTCTGGTGAACTCGTCGTCCGTCCACTTCCAGCACGGGCATCTGGCCCATCGGCATGGCTGCGGAGAGTGAGAGCATCAATTTTCCGGTCGCTGGGCAGATCTTTTTGTTCTGTGTCGCTAATTACCACGCCATTTGTTATGCATGGGAAGGTCGGTGGAATTCTCCCCAAATAAAGGGCTCCCAACGCTATTCTTTACATTGTTTCTGCCTCGAAAGATGACTTTTGAGCACAGAATAATGAACTGTTCGGGACCGCTTGTAATTTAAATGTATATTCAACACTAGAACTACCGACGATTAGTCATATTCCTCAAATTCTCCTTGATCTTCATATCTTTCAATTGATTTCATTGAAACATGAACTGTCTAATCTCATCCCTATTCTTGGCTTCTCGCCATACTGACTCATTTTTTCCACCACTTTTCCTCCTCACTTAGCTCGCAACACGGGATTCTTATCACGCGAATTTATGGTCAATTAAATTCTAAGCACTTTTCAATTGACTCTTGTGTGTGTTTCGGCTTTTTTTTTCCACATTCCAGATGGGAGACGGCTGAGTGTGCGCAGCATAAATACCAGCGTCAGAATAATTAAGCGAGATTTATTGTATTTGCACAGACACTCTATTATCTTTTTCCAGCGAGGAGAGAATAAATACAAACAGTAGTGATAATGCTTGGCTTGTTCTAAACCATTTCAATTACACCTGATATGCAAGTGCTTGTACACTTTGTGGGGCAATTTATCATATACGGATTGTTGATAAGAGTTGTTGTGATAAAGTGATTGTTGCATAATAAATAAAGGCAGTTGGCTTTTCGTGATTTCCAGATAATTGCGCCCGATTTGTGTCCGATCTGGCAGGAAATTGAGAAGCACGTCTCGCGGTGATCGTGAATCTCGAGTGCGCGACGAAAAAATGCAAAGAAGGGAAGATCAGAGTGAATTGCATGCATTGAATGTCTGAATGTGGGTCACACAATTGGACGTATTATTAGAAATCAGTCGAAAAATCGCGACAATCAATCGATATAGGGCCTCGAATCGTGGTTATTTCTGTGCGGTGAATTGGGGTGAGTGTGTCAACTTGTGCGTGATCACCCAAAGTGGCTCTCACGATCACGCAGATTTGATACTTACAGGACTTGAGGGTGGGCCACTCTTCGCGTGATACACGCAGATCCTCGAATTCAATGCCACCATAGGCCAAGAGGAAACGAAGAGGCTCGGCCAGAGCCTTAACATTGAAGTAGATCACTTTGTAGTTTGGCATGTTGACTTCCTCTTGCTTACTTCGTCACTGAAATCTGCAAAAGGAGAAACAGAACAATTTGCAAACTTAATCGGCAATGCTTCTGTGGCGCCAGGCAAAAATTGTCTTAAAAAGCCAAGCACTAGATGTTTGCCCACACGAAAACGCCTCAATAAAGTGTCTCTCTGTGTGACTTTGAGAAGTGGGCGTTGCTCGATCGCGACTGATCTCTTTTCCGTCGTATATTATCACCACAGTGATCATCACCATATGACATGATTTGTGTCGATCTTCGGCACTCTTTTCAGCACTTTTCCACTCTATCACTTCACACAGAGTTTCCACACGTAATTTTCCACTCACTGAAAGCCACCTTACCTGAAGACAATGGGCCGGATACCACGGATATCGCGAGCTGACGAACCTCTCAAGTGGACTGAGGTAAGAGAGCGGCCGGCGTGGCTTTTATATGCCCGCCGACAAGCGTCGAAGCCAAGCCGGTTGTGTTGGTGTATTTGAACGATATGCGATGGAAAAGGGACTGCGAAGGGCACTTCTGCCAATGCTAGAAGTTCTGATTGAGCAATATGATGAAATTGATGAAGCCAGAGAAGTTATAAACGTCTTTCAGTTCTCCGAATAGAACTCGGAGCAAAATTCTAATAAAAGAAAGTAGAGGAAAAAATAAAAATAAACCATAAGTAGGCGTGGCTTCTGAGTGGGCGTGGTTTAATGGAAATTATTCAATTTATTCCTCTGCAGTGAGAAGTTTCTGAGCCGCATGACTTACTATATTGCTTCTTCACGCACACTGAGCTGCCTCGGAAATTTCACTTTACACTCTCACACTCTTCCTCATTAACTCGATCGACTCCCCTCGACAGCGTTGCCGCAATACTGGATATTTGTTCTTGAACGTGACGAGGCTTTTTCCCACTATCAATGCTCTCCAGAGGCGAACTTGTTCACTGATAACGGACTTATAAATAACCGGCCGGCGAATGCTGAAGATGCCAAAATCACACAAGTTCCTCGCGTTTCGCGCCCACGGAAAGTGCAGAACATTCGCGATAGTGATAAGATTCGCAGCATGACTGAGCACTCTATGATTAGATGATAAGCGCAGAGGCGAAAGTTAATTGGATGATGAAGCCAATGTCGCCTATCAATTTTCTTCGCATTCAACTGGTTGGGATGACCTTGGCGTGAAAATTTGAATAACACCAGCGGAGATTCTCTCAGCCATTCTGGCAATCAATGACAGGTTTTATTGATTTTCCGGGATTTCTCATTATGCCACTTATGACGTGTTACATGTTATTGACCTGATATCGGGGTAGAGAGTGAAGCCAGAAAATCTTATTCATTCTCCACGTTGGCAAATCGTGAAATATTCATTCAGGAAATCAATAGAAGATATCTGTGACAATAATCAATCCAGAGAGGCTAAAAATAGATGAGAAGAAATGGCGGGGAACGAAGTTTAGGATGCGAAAACATGTTTTTTTGCAATTGAATGACAAGAAATTTTCAGAATTCTGAGAGAAGTGAGTTATTTTTAAATTAAACTGGTTTCAACTTGATTAGATTAGAACAATCTCTTGAGCATTAACACTACAGAATCACTTGAATTTTTGTGATCACTTCGTGCAATAATATTTTGCTTTACTTAAAGAGGCCAAAAGTAAATAATTTAGCTGAACATAAGAATTTAATGTGGTTTTTCTTGGAGTTTTTCAAATAATTCTATAATGTATGATTGAAGTTCTAGTGTTAAAAAATAGCGAAAATACATCAATTTTCAATGTAATCAAACGTAATGTCTGACTGTCTTATGATATCACAAAGACGATATTGATTTCTCAGAAGCCGTTAAAATAAATTCACTTCCGATAAGATTTGAATCATTTTCTCAAAAACTGTTCTCATTTCAAGCTTCAAACCTTTACTAGGAAAGCTCTTGCGCTCTTTGTTAACCAATTGACGTGGTTTGCCATTGTGAATTAAATTGTTTTTTTTAGTTTATTGATCATAAATAAAAATTAAATATTTAAGATATTGAAGGATGTGTCTTTAGCATTTTAATAACTTTAATACACGATAATTTGAATGTTTTCCAGGAGATCTTATCAGGTATATTTCAGCCACTTTTCTCCGAATTTTTGCTTGATAACTCAAGTGCTTTGTAATTATCGTGAGGTGGGTGCTGAAAGTTGCTTCAGTATTGTGTGGAAATTCTTGCAGAGTGAACGTGTCAGTTTGTTTCTCTCTTATCAGCTTCAGTGAGATTCATTATAATGGATCTGTACAATCGTTGTTCAGGTGATAGTGAGGCGGAACCGCCTGAGATGAATTCAGGCATTGCTTCATTTAGTGAGCGTCGATTGCTCTTAGAATCGACTTTGAAGAAAATTTCTGAGAAATCACAAGCTGAGAAGACAACGAAAGCGAATAAAAGAAAAACTTTTGGGTAATAAATCATGGATAAGTGTGATTATAGTGAATTATGGTTTTGATATGCTTTCTAGCGACTTTACACAAGTGCAACAGAGAAATTCATCGTTGTCAACAGATTTCACGGATGACTTTGACTTCACAGATTCTGATAATGATCAAGTGCCAAATCCATCAGAAAGACAGGAAATACCCAAAAAGTCGTAAGTTGAACTTCCACAAGAGTACGAATCTTTATAATGCCATACAAGTGGATATTTTCTATCTTATCGAACAACGATTGGCTTATCATCAGGCAACGTAATGTGCTTATCTTGCAGGCAAGTGGTCTGCTTACTGGACGAGATAATTAGAAGTGAAAAGAGCTATATAAACAATCTTCAACGCGGAATCGGTGGCTACCTCAAAGTCTTCGAGCATGATATTCCAGCGACACTCAAGGGGAGAAAGTTCACGATTTTCGGCGGTCTCATAGAAATCTATGAATTTCATTCAAATATCTTTCTGCCTAAACTGAAACGCTGCAATGGCGTGCTCGAGGAAATCTCCAATGTCTTTCACAGATTGATTACAGAAGATCACTTCTACAGCTATGTTCACTATGCCATGAATAACTGGAAGGCCAGTAGTATTTGTAAGGATCACGAGCAGTTCTTCGATGATCACAGAGAAGATGCTGGCGATAAATTGGGTATCATGAGTCTTCTAGTGCAACCAATTCAGAGAATTCCGCGATACAAGTTGCTCTTTGAGCACATCCTCGATGAGTTGGGCAAGCAAATCGAGATCTCCACTCAAGTCAAGTCACAACTTGCTGCAGCTTCCAGAGCGTGGAAGGCGATAGAAAAGCTGGCAGTTTGTGTGAATGCTTCGGTGAATGTTAAGGATATTACAGAGTGTTATGAGGTAAGATTTTGCATGTGAATTATTAAATTTCAGTGTATTGAAAGAAAGTCTTCGCTTTTCTAGATAAGTCTGCCTCATCAGGGAAAGTTCCGTGACATGCAGGCCTTTGAATTCCATGACAATGACGCTGGAAAACGCTTCAAAGGCTACGTCTTCCTATTTGAGAAGTGCATCGTGTACACTGAATCGAAGAACAACGCGAGTCAGAAGAACTTCATCTATCGTGGTCATTACGACGTTGACAGTTTGGGCATCATTCAAGATGTCAACCACGGAAAGTTATCTCTGTTCAGACATCGCCTCGGTCAGAAGCAGCTGGACATTTCCGGTCCATCTCCTACCATCAGCAAGTGGAATGAGTACATCAAGAGACTCGTCTTGGAGCACTTCACGCAGAAGAAGCAGAAAGGAAGGTTCACATGGCACGGACAGACGACATCAGAAATCGACAAGTGCTGGTATGCAGATGTAATGTAGCACAAGAGCACTTTCATCAGAGTATATATATTGTAACGTATGAGATTTATCGATGTACAAATATATTTAAATTTCCATTCAACAAGAATGAGAACAGAAATCAGAAAATGCTTTTACCTTCAGCCATTCATTCTCACACTTCTTTCGCCAATCCTTGTATTTCAACTGTTTTCTGTTGCTTGAAAATATGCGACAAACTGTTTCCAAGTTTGAATTTTCTCCTCAAACCATTCGTGAAAAGCTCTATCGGTGGCGAAGCAACAAGTGTGTTATTTCAGGCATTGTGCTTTTCAGTGTGAAATGCTCTTTGGTCGAAAAACCGAGCATTTCTCGTGAATCTCAAGTGAATATTCAGCATTAATTGCATTTCGCACGTAAGAATTAATTGTTCTGCCTCTGAAGATGTTCTATTTTTCATCAATTTTCCACTTTTTGTAGCTATTTTTCTTGCCAAATTTACCTGTGCTGTTATCAGCACGCATACTTGCAGATTCTCTACTTGTATCAGCCAATTGATAAGGCATAAACCGCATCAATTCAGAGGCAAGTGTGAAAATTGTGTCAGTGTTTTGTGAAGATTTCGGACGAGTGAACGTGTGACTTTTCTGCTCTTAGTTTCTTTATCAAGAGTCCCCCAAAGTGATTTGTGGCTTTTCCTCCGCGGAAGGCGCAAAAGAATGGAGAGTGATGCCATGAATCGTGTTTCCAGTGACAGTGGCACGAGTTCGTATGAGTGCGAATCGGAGAGGATGCCAGAGAGACCTCCGCGAGGGATCAGAAACTCCTCCTGCCCGAAGAATATCGTGCAAATGCGCAAATTGCAGTTTGAGCGATTGTGCCAAGAGAATCGCGAGGAGCCGCGATGCACGAAGACCATCAGGATCAGTCCGGAGTTGCCCAGGAAAGCGCCTGAGCCCCAGGAGGAGCCCGAAGAGGAGAATGATGAGGAGGAGGAAGAGATCGTCGACACTGAAGTGAGTCATGCTGAAGAAACAACGCATGAAGAGGAGGATCGGGAGGCAAACGATAACCGGAGTGTTGAGCAATCCACTGATAACGCACCAACACAAGCGATTTGCGATTCTAGGTACAGTGCAAAGTGAATTGGTGGGATTAGAAGAGAGCATTGAAGACATCTTTTATGCGCTTTCAGTGATTTTGAAGAGGCTGAAGATGGGGAAGACGTTGAAACTTCTGTATTGCCTGTGATCGAGGTGAAGAACACAGAAATCTATGACGACACTCCTCAAGACTATGACGACTTTAGCGAGAGCACTTTCGATTCGTCGGACTCTGACGATGATGATTACCTTCAAGTACCACAGCAATCGCGTCCAGTGTCTCAGGATTCAATATCAACGTAAGTTTCATATCATAATTGTGTCAAATGCGTGGATTTCTGAGGCTAAAATTCCCCGCCAATTTGCCTCATATCTTATCATTGAGAGCTCTCTATGACAAAGAAACACTCTTGCTTTTGTAATAGCAAGTTTTGGGCTGTTCAGATGTTGATTTAATGGAATTCCAATTGAAATTCTCTTTCAGGCGAGTGATTCTCCTCGTCGACGAATTGATCAAGACAGAGGAAACCTATGTAAATATTCTTCAGCGAGGCATTGACAACTACACCAATGTCTTCAAGGGAGAACTTCCGCCAACTTTGCGTGGCAAAGAGAATGCCATCTTCGGTAATCTCAAGAGAGTGTGTGAATTCCACGCGGAAGATCTTCTGCCGAAGTTGAAACAGTGCAATGGAGACGTTGAGAAGATCTCGAGTGTGTTCATGACGCTCATTGGCGAAGACTACTTCTACTGTCACGTTCTCTATGCTATGAATTGCTCCAAGTCCAAGAAAATCTGCGAGGATCACGTGAAGTTCTTCGCGAGCAAGATGGAGGGAGTCGGTGATCGACTGGGCATTCTCAGTTTGCTTTTGCAACCAATACAGAGAATTCCACGCTACAAGCTGCTGCTGGAGAACGTCTTGGATGAGCTGGGGAAGCAAATTGAGGCCTCTTCGGAGGTGAAATCCCAATTGGCCGCCACATCCAGAGCCTGGAAGGCTGTGGAGAAGTTGGCGGCTTGTGTGAATGCTTCGGTGAATGTTAATGACATCGTTGAATGCTACGAGGTAAGAAGATCGGGATCACACTTAGTGGCGTTACTTGATCTCTCTTGTCTTTCAGATTAATCTCATGCATCAGGGAAAATTCCGTGACTTTCAGGCCTTTGAATTTTATGACAATGACACCGGCAGACGCTTCAAAGGCAACGCTTTTCTCTTTGAGAAGTGCATCGTGTACACGGAAAACAAGAGTGTTTCGGATCAGAACAACTTCGCCTACCGCGGACATTATGGCTTTGCGAAGTTGGGAATTCTTCCGGATGTTAATCGAGGGAAGTTGTCGCTGTTCAGGGACCGCCTTGGGCAGCAACAGTTGGACATCTATGGCCCAACGCCGTCCATCAGTCGATGGAATGATCATGTGACGAGTGTTCTTATGGAATTTGCCAATGAAGGTATGATTGGTGTTTAAGAGAGGCAGCGAGAAGTGAGCTAATGTCGTGTCTTTCGCACCTTTTCAGAGAAAGAGAAGAACAGCCGCGGAAAGATAAATCGTCAGAGCTACAAGTCAGTTGTGCCGGAGTTCAGGAGCAGCACCAGAGGCAGCATTATGAGCAACCTGAGCATCGCGAGCTCGTCGAGTGGCTACAGAAGTAGTCAATATAGTAGTAAGTTTCCTGCGACGGAAGATACAGACTTTGAATGATCTTCCTGAGACGTTTAGGCAAATCTTTCTTACGCTTTTCGCTCTTCTCTCCTCACATTCTGTCCAGGTGATCTCGATATGGACAGTCGAAGAACCACATGGTACGTGAATTTATAGTTGCACGTTATGCGTATTTAATTTGATAAAATTCGACATGAAAACAGTATCACACTTTAGAGACTTTTATACTTAATCCCACTTTATTTATTGAAGCTCAATAAAGCGATCATTTTGCGGGAATCTCCCACACACAGACTCTTTTATCTGCTCATATGGTTGATGATTGCATGTAAATATGAGTTTCTCTGAATGTTCTTATCTTTCTCGTCTGTATTTTCTCTCTCTCTTCTGGGGGATTTTCTAGGTATGAGAACAAGAACCTTCAGATGCTGCTAAACTCAGAGAAGCACTACGTCTCAATGCTGTACACGTACAAGAAGAAGCTGATCGATCATCTCGAGCCAGATGTTAAACAGTTAATCGTTGGCTACATCAATTGCCTAGAGGCGATTTGTCAGATGCACAGAGACAGATTTCTGCCCAAACTGCAGGAATGTGACATGGTTGCTGAGGAAATTTGTAATCTCTTCAATGACTTCATATCGGTAACTATCAAATTTTTCCTAGACACATTCACAGCGTCTAATGATCTGTCTATCCTTCCTCAGGATGGCTCTTTCGGCATCTACATGACATACGCGACGGAAATGATGAGTGTTCACCAAATTCTTCTTGATTACAATGTAAAATTTTGCCCACGAAAGGTAATGTACACGCTTTTTCGCCTCCTCAATGTATTTTCTTTGACCATTTTCTGCACAGAGACAAACAACACTGATGAGTGAGGATTACGAGACCGGAATCAAGGTGTTTCTGAAACTGCCAGTGAAGCGATTATCTGCCTACGAAGCTGCCATTCACTTTATTCTTGAGGTAAAAGCTGTGGGAAAGTTATCAGGAATCATTATATTTAAGTAACATTGATCTTTGCAGTGCTTCTTCAGTGAAGGAGTTAATACGATGAGCTCAATCTTCAAAGTTGCCGCTGTTCTTGAGGCTGAACTCAACAATCTGACCAAATCCGTGGAGAATAACTTCAAAGTCTTCACGTGCAGTGATTTCAGGGTGAGAATGCAGATCACATGGGCGGGGCTTTCAAATGGGCGTGGCCTAATTGTATTTAACTACAGATGAGTCGCAGAAGTGTTGGATTCGTGCGATATGCTGATGACGTGGCCGCCAGTACCTTTGGAACGTGGAATTACTGCATTCTGCTGATGGAGAGACAGATTCTCTGCTGCAAAGTCAAGAAAGATCAAGTATGTCCACGCAAAATCACTGTTACATGCAAGCTTAATGTGATTTTCCCGCAGGACTCTTCCTACTTCTCTTCCGTCCTTTTTCACACCACCTATGATAATCTCGTTATTCGCGAGAGCAAAATGAATGCCAATAGACTGAAGTTCTGCCTCAAGAGTGGCGATCAATCCGTCTATCCGCTCCTCTTCCGCACGCTGGACAAGAAACAACTCTTCATGAGGAAGTTCACCGAATTCTACCGAAAGAGTTTTACGTCAAGAAAGTGATAAGGAATTATTTGATAAAGACAGACATTTTTGTAACTTTGCATGTTTTAATCACAATTAATTGGGCGATCAATTTGTGATAAGGCTAGTATAGGTTTTTATCTAAGATCGTCTTTCAAGTTTGCCAGTCAGTTGGGGAAATCTTTCACTTTGCGAGAGGCACAGCAATGAAGATATTCTCACTTGTGGTGTTTTTCACAGCGATTTTTGCTTGCGAAGCAAATCCTTTTACAGACGCTCACGCGTATCTTCATGGAGTCTTCCTAGACCAGAAAAACTACCTGTAAGTAGGAGAGAAAAACAAAACTTCTTTGGCTTTTCTAACTACATTCTCTGCTTGCAGCGATGGAGTTCGAGAGTTTGTGAGTGTTTACAGCGAAATTGTGGCTTATGACATGATGGAAATCGTGGTGACGGAGATGACAGGATGGGAAACGCGTGGGAAAACTTGTCTGGAAAACATTTTCAGGCCCCGGAACAACGAAGAGATTGGAGAACAATTCAGTATCTGCGTCTTCGGAGCCTCAACTCATGTCTTCACAGTGCAGTCTCTAATCTTGCAGGCTGTTGAAGACGCCCAAGAGGAGACTTATGAAATGCAGCAAGCACTCTTGAGGGAATTGCAGAGGGAAGACATCCTGGAGATAAGTGACAACTTCTACGATCATGCCGTTGAGATGGGCAGGCAGATGACAGAGAGATTCTACAACGAACGCTATCCGCTGGTGGTGGAAAATCTGGATAGCATGGATTGGACAGTTGAGAATGTTCCGGGTTTGCTTCAGAACTGCATCAGCGCAATTGCCAGGAAGTACACAATCTTCTGCTGATACTGTTCGGAAGTAAATGATTTACTTATTAAACAGAAAACAGTGAGAAAATCAATCAATTAAATCATCGTTGAACTGTTTTTACGTCAGAAAAATGCGACAGGAATTTTCCAATTCAGTAATAACCTTGTTGAGTGTCTGATTTGCAATACACACTGTGGAGAAATTCAATTTTCCCGGCATATTTCCGTGACTGCGAAGCAAGAGGAAAACAGCATCAACTCCTCGTCTTTGTGAAAAACAGGCAAATATCATCATCCACTATCAGGATAGATAAAAGGACATTACCAGCAGCAAATTGACATGGGGATGAGGCGGTGTGTGTTGGGGTGAAATGAAGTTTTCCTGTTGCGAAACGCCTCGGGAAAAGTGGGGGAAAAATTGACAAAAGGACATCAGTGAAGGAGGAAAACAAATTGCTGCAGCATTTTCGCCACCCATGATGGAAACTATCGGGAAGAGTGAATTAAAAGTGGAGGGAAATGTCTGTTGGGGAAAAAACCACCCCCGCAGATTTGCTGTCTGTTCGCTTAAATCAAAATTAATGAAAGCGAGAGGGAATCGAACACACCTTCTGACGTGTCATTTATTCAATTGATCCCACTTCTTTTCGGATTCTTTTTTCCCATGAAGACGATTGATTGAGAGACACGAACTGTGTCGCTAATGCCACAGACAAACTCCCCCGAAAAAAATTCCAGAGATTTATTGAAGACAGACATCTATGACTAATTCAAATTGATGAGTTCTTCCTCGTTCGCTTTGGCATGGAAATTCTACTAGTTTTTTTCATTGTGAGCGAATGTTTGCTATGCACCGCTCAAGATCACCAGGAAGACTCCTGGATGCCCACTCGAGTTCACTGATCACGTCAGAGAGGTGAGGATACACTTCACCGTTAAATCTGGCATCGATTGTCCTTCCAATTGTGCTCATATGATCATAGAATTGATTATAATCTTCCAATATATCGAAAGTCATCAATTCTCGCAACACCAACATTTGCATATCTTGAGTCTCTTGCTGAACTTTCTCAAGTTCATCGAAAATTATGTAATGAATGTCGTTGAGTTGATTTGTCGAGTTCTGGACGCAAATCTGAAAAGCATCGCCGATTTCTGTACTCGTCTCACTATCTTCCCAAGTCTCGATCGCCCTAGTTGTTTCTATCATCAAATCATCAGCTGTGAGTTGAGTGAAGAAGCCAATATAGCTGCGAACAGCTGATCTGGAAGTTCAAAAAGCTCTCTTAAACCTTTCACATACGCTTAACGATAAAAATCTGTACATACAGAGTCGTCGAGTGGCGAAGGAAGATCAAGTGAAGATCTGCATGTGCTTGAATTAGAGGATTTGTTTGCTGCGCACTTGAAAAGTATGGGAAAAGACCAGAAAAAACGATGAAAAGTAAGAAGTTCATGTTGGACTATTAGACTAGCAATACGAGAGAGTGATTTTAAAGCAAATTACTCGCGCAATTTGAAGTGGTTATCACTTAATTGCAAATGTTTGCCAATATATCTGATGGAATAACAGGGCGCGTGAGTGATAATGCAGATATCGCATATCGTTATGATGTTTCGTGATATCGAAATGTGTTCACACCCACAAATATTTCGCGCAATAGTCACAGTTCCACCCTGATTTTCCATTGCAGCGCTCCAGAAAATGATGCCAGACCATCAAAGAATGTTTGATTACACGCTAATTAAGTGGCATTCGGCACTGCGGTTGATAGGGTGTGAATGCTTCATTTGGCCAATTGGTGGACGTGATCGTGGCCAAAATGGGGGATGACGTGATTTAATTGGGAGCAAGAGACCAACCATGAAGACGGCACATAATTCGGCATTTTATGTGACCCTCTTCGCCACACAATTTGCACTCCAATTGCACCTCTGACACCGAAGCGGCGTGTGACTGTGCTCGTGGCAAATATTGCACTCAAGTTAATTGAGCGTCATTGCAGAGTCAATTCGATGGCAGTCGGAGAAAATGTCGTGGAAAAAGTCAGAGAGGGATTTCCTTCTCAGCAAATTAATTAAATGCACAGAGCGTTAAATTGAACTGAACGTTAGTGATGATATATTTTAATCCATGCACAATTCTGTCGCTTACAGCAATTCTCTCACATTCAAACCCGCACTTTGTAATCCAATGATGCACATTTCACTGGACAAGAAGATTCAATCCGCACACACACACAATGGGTGGATTCGAGGGCAAAGAGTGGGGCAATTTTGGGTGAGAAGGACTTTCTCAATAAATTCGGGGAATTGCAAGTATAATGTTTGTGTGCAAAAATTTCCCAATTTCACTTGATAATTGAAAGTCCTTTTCCTGTCCACGCGCTCTCGCCGAAATGGGAAAAGTTGGGAAAATTCTCAAGTTTGGGAAGAAGGTGAAAATGTGCCAATAAAAACTGGCCCGAATTGGAAAAGTCTGGTGATCCCCAAAAGTGTCCAATCGTGCTCATTTTGGGTGAAACTTTCACCGAACCCCCTTCGCCACACGATGAAATGGCGCCGAAAATGTGATACTGGAAGCTCTAATTGTGTATTCGGGAAGCACTTGCACGAAATAATGTGTTAATTTAGATGCCACCGAAACTCCAATCACCACGACATTTCCTCACCTCATAAAGCGACACGCATTTAATCCCATCATCCCCATTTCTTCAGGAGATGAACTCAATCTGCCAGATTCACCCTCGTTGACGAACTCACCCCATTTGCATCGTCTTTGATTTTTCAAGGAAAGATGACTCTGTCTATCTCCCTTGGAGAATATCCGCAATCGTATGCATTTGCAATTGATTTGAGGGATGCCTGGGAAATCGACGAGGGAGCCACAGAAGGATTCCACATGACTCCTTTTAATAACACGAATGTACCAACAAAGAGATTGAAATAGAATTGGAAGAACGAATCGGCGATGACTCACAAGAGGTCAAGTTATTGCATTCGCCGGAGTTTGCAAACATGTGAAAAGGCGAGAAAGATTAAGTATATTTTGAATACGAAGCTTTGAATAGAGAAACTGGAATAGACAGATATTTAAATTTTCGATGTACTGAATTTTCTAAAAATATTAACACAATTATTATTCTACCACTTTATTTTCTTTTCTTCGATAACAATTTTCCTGTGCCTCAAGAAAATGATTGTAAGAGCGACCGTAAGTTATTTTACACCATCTCACCCACAGATCCGAAGAAATAAGCTCTGCACTCGAGAGCCGGGACGATATTCCACTTGAAATTTTAAGATTTTGATATTTTGTCAGAATGTCTAACAAATTGTTTCACTTCATTTTCTAGTTTACTGACTTTAAATGTTGTTTGCAAATAAAAGGACTAGACAAACAGAGGTAATCCGCCCTGATTAGTTAGAAACAGGTTAAAAAGTCATTAAGTGGTGAAAGGGACGATAATCCCTTGGGTAATCCTACGCTCCGGTGCCGCAGGTAGGCCGACGACAGGCCTATAAAAGGCCAGCTCGACGGCAGATCTGCACATTCAGTCTTCGGCACCAGAGCAGAACGGTTGACTCAACTTCTTCTCTCTAAAGCAAAAGCCTGCAGACTTAGTCTTTCCACTATGGATTCATTCGTCGATCAGCGTTCTTCCACCCCTCTTCACTTCCTGGAGGACTCCTCCATGGACGTGTCTCACATCTCCGCCCCTCCCCCGCCCCCGCCCCTGCCCCGAAACATCCCGCCCTGGGTGTTCATCCTCGCTCCGGCGCTTGCGGCACTGCCCATCGTTGGCGTGGATGAGCCTCTGTTCCATCAGAACTTCGAGCACGACAGCGCTATTGACTGTCCGCCCTTCCTGGAGTCCGACCTGGACTTCTCCGCATCCACTTCCGATTCGGAGAGCTCCACGTCTGACTCCGAAGCCCCACCCGCCCACGCCCTGCCCCACCCCTCGCAGATCTCTTGGTAGACTGCCGCCCCCGCCCCTGCAGACCTCCCCGAACCACGGACGCTCGACGACAAGGGACTCTGTCCCGCTTTGGCAGTCAGTCCCTGGCGAGGCTTCGTCCTCGGACCAGGGAAAGTGCCCATAGCACCTCCTCGCGGTGGCTGCTGGCGACCGGATCCGCTCCCCAGGATCCGGGACTAAGCTATGGGTGCGCCTTCTAACCACTAACCAACTAACACACACTTTAATTATTATTTTATTGATAGAATATAATAAGCAATTAATTTAATTTCAATTAAATTCTAATTTGTTTATTTTTTACTTTGTACCTTGTTCATAGCTCTCCTTAAAATCATCTCCAATCGTAAGACTTCGTCACCCGCTGCTTTGACCGTCTTTTGTGCTGAACTTCCTTTGAGTCGCACTTGCCGGAAACCGAAGCAGGAAAGGCGGATTCGATTGTGGCACACGCCAAAGACTTCCAGTGATATGGAATGAAATTATTTTTTCTTTTGCCTGTGAAATATTTAAATTTCAACCCTTGGTGCCGATTCCACAGCGAGATGATATGCAAATTCCCGCTTTTTGCCATTTGATGTGCAATGAGAGGAATTCCCGCACCCGAATCTCTCGCCACTAAATCTTCGGCTCCTGGGCAGAGGAGATAGGAATCAATTTAATGCATATAGAGAGGTCTTGGGACTTGATTTCATCTGTTCTCCCGGCGGAATAGGCCTGCCTTCGCCCATCAATTCTCAGGGAATTGGAGTCCCTCAACCCTCGGCTGTGTTGACAAGAAGCGTAATGCTGTTAATTTTCTCAGCCTCCGCCTTTTCCCCACGCGCACTCTCAAGACATGACATTGGAGCTTGTGACTTTATTCAGTGCGTGTTTTTCCCCGTTCACAAATATGTAATTTAGTGGCATTATGGGTAAATTTATTATTTCCTTCAACGCCTCATGCAAATTGCACATTGACACACTCACCCTGTGTGTTTTGGGTGAAAAATTTCCATCATCCACACCCGATAGACCTCCATGTCTCGTGCCATGTGTGATGTCACATGGAGTGACAAAACGTGTTAAGAATATTTAGTGGATGATGGAATAAATAAAAATTCGCCAAAAGTATCTCTCATGGAAGGGGGAAATTCCCTTTCTCAGGGCCAAATTGACACTCTCTCGAGTTTTCCCTGGGAAAACTTTCATATAAAACATAATTTTCTAATTTATCCTCCTTGAAATTCGTTCCTTTACAACACACCAAAGATGGAAACTTTTCCAAGTGCTGCAGATTGAGTGTTTCCTCAAATGCAGGAAAAGTTTATATCGCCAAGAGGTGCATCGGGTTTCCTCCGAAAAGTGTTGCTGGAGAATAACATTCGCCGAGTAACTTTCAATTTATGAAAGGTGCGAGATTTCTTCTGGACAAACTCTGGATGAATTTCTGGAATGCACAGAAGTCTTGCCATGAATTCTTCCATACTCGCATCAATTATCATTGATGCTTCGTGGAAGTTTCTTGTGGCAGCAAAACAATATTTAAATTTATGCTCTGGAGCTTTTGACGAGACATGAAGACAGCGATACATCATAAAGTTTTGCATGTTAGCTTTTTGGATATTCTCTGTCTTTTCGAAGGTTTCTGCTTCAAAGCCCCACTTGAAAATTCAGGTGGAAAATCACGGATGAATTTAGAGGTTTTCCTGTTAAGATTAATGATCTCTTTCAGGGGTTGTTGGTTGGGCATTTTACATATAGCATCTTGTGCATATCAGTGGCGGCAAATCCCTCCACTTTCCGCATGTTTCCGCGTGTTGTGATGGAAAAAGTGGACCCAATTGCCGAAGGGTGAGGAGGTGAATCATGGGGGCTGAAATTGAGAAGAATTTCCCAACACGATCTCATCAAATGGCTGAGGATTACCAAACGGCAAAGTATTATAAATGACCTCTATTCGGGAGGCTGAGTATTCTATTACGTAATGGGGATTTACACAACTGCTGGAGGTTTGATTTTCCATTTTTCCTCCCCCCCCCCATCCCATTCACAGATGCCGAGAGACGAAACGGCCCCAAAGAAAACAACCCCATAATGAACGGTGGAAACGTGCACAACTTGGCAAATGCCACACTATTCCATGCGGATTTCCCTCGCACTTTCTGATCGAATTCCCCCTCACAGCCCCCCAAAAAGATGCTGGCAAGGCTTCACCGAGGTCGAAGGGATGCTTTTTTTCGACTCTCTTCAAAATTTAACCCCAACTTAGATTATTATGTACGTGAAAGCGCCTGCTGAGTGTAATCGGAAGCGATATAGTCTCATCCATTCCATCGATTATCGAGACAATAGGATGGATAGATTGAGTTAATCAGGAATAGCCAATCTCTCACTCCACCCCGCCTGGCGACAACTGCATAAATTTGCAATTTGGCGCCCCCCAAAAGAAGCTCCCCGCCGGGCGATGCTGATTAAATTGCACTCTCGAGCTCCATTTCATCAGTGGAATGCCCGGTCCAATGCGACACTTTATCACTCGGGCCTGAATCCGGTGGAAATTGTTTTCTCCGTTGGGTACTTCTTTTTTTTTTCACCGCCGTGAAAATGTTTTAATTAGAAATTCCACGAAGTCTTCGAGACACGGTGAATTGACTGTGAAAAATCCTTCACGGCGCGCCTATTGAGCTTCATCCGCACGCCTGAAAATCGATGGAATTCTTAAGGGATTTCCCGGATGTGCGGGGAAAAGTGTCTCACCATCGAAAGTCGCAAAGGTGTAAAAAATTTATTTATCGCTTGATTTTATTCAGTTATCTTGATGCCAAATGGCAAGGAAAAGCCCCAAATATTGAGCTTTCACGTGCTTTTCACGCACTTTTGGGATTTGTCCCTGTTTTGGGGATGATTCCTTCCTGGAAAAACGTCACATGCACATACTTTCGACGAATTGAATGGGGGAGGTAAGAGAGACCAAATTCCTCTGGATTTCCACAGGAATTTTCTCATAGAAGCACACATTGAGGAAAAGTGTTCAATGACACCCGCGGAATTTTGCTCAGCCAAAGTGTCCTCAATTTCAACAAAGAGGCGCGTTTTGTTAGATATACAAAAAAGGCACTCGCGAGGCGCGCTCCTTGATTGTTTCATTTCCCGCACCACTTGTGGAAAATATTCAATTTCGTATTCATCTTTGACGTCACAAATTTCACCCTACCATAAATATTTTCCGGCATTTGTGTCTCTTGCCACACATTCGAAACACATTTTCCAGCGTGTGTGCGTGGCGGGGGTGGCAAAAAATTGTAATCCAGCGTGCTAAAATATAAATAAGGCGCACAAGAATGGGGCGCAAAGATGGAGCGCCAGATTCGCATTTGTGCCATTGAAATTTCCTCCGCGCGGTGATTTATTCCTCAATGACTGTTAAGCACATTGACAAGATGAACAGTTCTCGGTGGAGCTTTTTAGGGCGCGGGGCGAAAAAATGCCGTAATCTCCAAACAATTACCCCCTGAATGGAATTCGACAGTGTATTTTCTGAGCTTTCAGGTGTGCTTTCAGCATATTTAAAAATACTTCTTGCGCCGCTCTCGTGACAAAGTGTGCATTTCTTTGTAAAATTGTAGATTTTTTTCCCTCCTCGCACTCTTGAGGGTGGAAAATTCACCTGAAATCCACCCAAGAGAGTCAGTGCGGGGTTGTCGTAAAAGTGAATTCAATTACATGGTGGAAAAAGTGGAGCTAAACTGTTGTCTGGGGCGTCAAAAGGGAGTGAAACTATGAAAAATTTACCACGCTGCGAGTCATTCATATGTGGAACATCACATAAAATGTGTCCAAAGACACGGAGAATCTATTAAATCGTAAAACATGAGACATTTCCTATAAACAATCCATTTGCCAGGCGGTGTCTTCTCGACCATAAAATCCTGATCCATTGGATTTTCCGCACATGAGAAGTGGAGCTTTTCCCGACCGCCCAAAATCCACCCCACGGAACAGTGACTCACCTTCTCGTGGGCTGACAATTTAATTTAACCGCCCAATGGGGAAAAAATACACCATAGAGATGAGGGAGCTTCATTCGAGGCACTAATTAATCCATCGAGCGCCATGAAAAGCGCTAAACGCAGAGTTCATTGGGAGAAAGTAAGAAATATCATGTAATTATCGTTAAATGCATCGTTTCACTTCGATTAGCAGTAAAAGAGCGCGCATTGCAGGACAAACAGGCCTCATTTGTCGGATTCGATGACTCATGAAAATGTCCCCAAACCGTTTTGAGGACCTCAAATTAGAAACTTTCCCACCCACTCGGGGAACACTCTGTGGCCTCAGCAAAACTTTCCATTCCGGCTTTATTGCCAAAGTGCGGTGAAACATGGCCCAGAAAGACATCCTCATATGACACTGTGCCATCGGAAAGATGAAGAAGTAATTAGAGACGCCTTTTTTCCTACCCGGTCAACGTGACGCAATAAATGGAGGCGGTTCACTCAGAATTTTCACCCCCTGCCACACACGAGGGAAGCGCCATGGACTTTTATGTGTTGCGCAAGATGAGGCATAAAATAAAAGCCACTTAATCCACTTGAGGGAGTCATGAGAATTCATCCGGGGGACTTCCTGGGGATGGGCGGACATGTAGCTAAAATTGCGGATTTTCACTGGGAGCGTCTTATGATGAATTGAGGGGAGAAAGATGGTCACTTTGCAAGTCATTTGGCTCCTAAATGCCCAGCATTAACATTAAAGTTGAAGCTAGAAGTGCATTCTTACCATTTTTGTTTAATATATGAAATCTTGATATCTTGGTTCTTATAGTTGTTGTCTTCGGTGTAAAGTTAATTTGGAGTAAACACGTAAAATTACGCTTATAGTGAACATGAAGATTGCCAGAGTTTGCATATCAACTTTCAGACAAATCATCCGAATCATTCACGTTCGCTTCGTTGCCAATTATCTGGTGAAAAGTGCATGATTGGTGTCTGGAATATCACAGTTATAAGATCACATTTTGCTGAGATCAAATGATTCCGGTGAGCTGAAGTTCTGGGTGGATTTATCAATATCTCGACCATTGTCACATCATCCCCTCGTCAATTTGCTGAACAAGGCGCGGAGGGTGGGAGAATGCGACAAGTTCTCAAATAGAATTCATAAATTTAAATCGGTATATAGTTGGTGCATGGCTGATAAATTGATTTTACACACATTTGAGTTATTATTCATTGAATTTCACATCCACTCACAATAAAAATGCCCCACGGCTGGGGTGGTGAGGAGTTGAATGTTGGAAAATGTTGAACAGGCGTCCCCGTGACTGGTCAAATGGACGCCGTGACGGAGTATCAAATTAGTGAAATTAAAACTGGCAAATTGCACAACAAAAAAACGCACACCCAGTGCTGGAGCTGTGCGACTGCATCAGAGTGCATGCATAAGTGTAATTAAATTTTCCCATTGCAGCTTTTAAGGTAATAAGCGGGGAGGGTGAGTCCGGCACACGCTCGGAAAGTGGATTTGTAGGACGACAACACAGCTCTGGTGCAATCAACATCAGTGACTCATGGGTTCAATTCACACAATCGCCCAAACTCGCCCGAAAGGATTTAAGGTCACGCTTCGGGGCGGAAACACGGCGGTGCAGTTTCGCCAGGAAGGTGAGGACTCTGAATTTCCTCGAAAGCCTTCCATGACGCCAAATTGGGGCCGGAATGTGGGCGTCGGGCGGACTGACTTGCTTTCTCTCCCTGGACTGCAATCGCTCTCTCAGTCCATTGAGTTTTTCCGTCAATATACGCATTTGAGGATGCGGAAAATATGCCCGCAAACAAATATCCGCGATTAAATTGGATTGAAAAAGGGCCAAGCGGAAAAGCAATTATCGCTTATTTGAATTGGGGAATAATTAAAAATATACCCTATTTAAATTACTTAATTGATTATAAATTCACATTACGCGATGTGAATTTTCCCGACAATTCCGCTTCCGGCCGCTCTCGCGCATAAATTTGATGCCATGAATTTTTACCACTCTCATTTCCATGGACATGGATAGTTGGCGTGTGGCATTCATCATCCGAGAGGACTCTTGAGTGTCAGAAACACCAAAAAAAATCACCCAGAGAAAGTCTCCTTTTCCCCACGACAGTCTCTCGAGAGCGCACGAAGATGGAATCACATGCATAAAATTAGCTTCTCGGACAGAGAAGGAAGACGAAAAAAAAACACAACAAAGTTATTAGCATTTGTGTGGAGATTGGAAGTCCCAAGTCAATTACAAGATATCCCAAACCAATATTCTTGGGCGGGGGCGGAAACTCATTCCCGGCCGTCCCACACTCGCGGCCACCCCATTCTGCAGTCTTATCATGTTCTCCAATTTACACCTAGTTACCCAGGGATAATGACATTTGTCACACAGCGAGGGTGGGGACAAAAGACGAGGACTTCCTTATTTTGCTCCTTAGAGAAAATTCTACCAATATGGAAGATACAAGGCGCATACGCTTGCTCTTGACTAATGTACATGTGAGTTTGTCACATTGTGTCGTGTGACAGTTCCTTAGACTTCCATAGGACACATCTGAGCAAGCCGAAAGGAATTGTGTCATCATTCAATTACAAAAATAATCAATAAAGCTTCTTTTTGACGTTTTGAACGTTGAAATGACATTGTGATTATTCTTTTATTATAAATTAGAGAAAGAACCGATATTCCTTTAATTGTCCACAGACAATCGTGTGAATATCACATGTCATATAACGATTATTCTCATGAAGTTTTAACGACAGTCCTTTAGACGCAATATATTATGAAATGAGCTGTGCGAAAGCGTGGCGAAATATGGAAATGTCTTGACGACTCAATTATGCGGTGTACTCAACACTCACGGACTCCATCACGCCCTGCTGGGTGAAAATATATTCTCCACACGCTATCACTGGATGGTGTGGAAAACTTCATCAAACGGAGGGTAGATGCAGGAATAATTAGAAAATGGAATTTTTGCCATTGGAGGTGTGAAAGTTTTGTCAAAGTTAATTTTGCAGCTGAAGAATGATGTGTTTGAAAAATTTTGTCACGTTTCAGCCACGCGAATTTTCCCATGAATTTCCACACTCAAAAGAGTTTGTGAAGAAATTGGAGAAAAAAATATACTTGGCAAACACTTTGACCGCCCGAGAGAAATCATTTGATTTTCAATCAATTATTTAAGACACTTTCCTGAGACGAAGAGTGGTTATAATGGAAAAGTTCGCGAATGCTTTCCGGTGGGAACGATTCGCCACCAAATGTCGATTTCGAGCGAAATTGAGCATTCAAATCAGGCCACAGAGACAAGGAGAATTTCTTCCTTCCCTTCGTCGTCGCCTCTTTGGCCGATGTTGGGGAGGAAAATGCATGAAAAATTTTGTCATATTGGCGAGAAGAGAGTCAAAGAAGGATGATGGAGTGAATTTCTGATTGAGATTCTGCTCAAGATTCCAATAAGAATTCGACAGAAAGAGAGCAGAAGAAGTGGCATCACGAGATGGGGCGATCAAAAAAAAAAATGGTGAGAAAAACGTGTTAATTTATGGTGGAAGGAATTTTTTTTTCCACCCCCACAGACGCCAATGGAAGAATTAGAATGACGAGGAAAACCTTATTAATTTAATTTCACACCTTGTCATTCGACTGAATCCCATGAAAAATATTTTTCCAATTAGTGGGAAAAACCCGAAGACAGTTGGAGAAACTCAATTTCGCCTGTGACAGAGTGGTGAAAAAATTCACATAATATTTACTTCTCTTTCCTACCATTAGCCAAAGAGGTCTTCTTTATGACAGAATGCAAATTTCCCGCATAAGACTCGAAGGAAGACGTCAAGAGAATGAGAAACGAATACTGAATGCTTTATTACTTTTTTTTTCTCAGACTTGGCGCTTCATGTCAAAGCAAAAATTTCAGGCAGTGAAATTGATTATCTGACATGAATTTTTGGCCACACTAAATGCCTTTCTGCAGAATGGATAGAAAATTACTGTACATTTTGTGTCAATTTAACTTCTAAGATTGGGATTTGTGAAGTTTCCTACAGCATTTGAAGAGGCGAAGCAGTAGTAGAATTTCACACAAGAAATCTACAAAGCACACTTGGCGAAGTCACGTTTATCAAGGAAGAACTTCCATCTTTTTGCATATTTTTGAAGGAGTTTCCGACATGAGTATTCTCTCTCCTCTTTCCCAATAAATTGTTTTGTTTTATAGGAGAAAAATGTATTTTGTGCACAAAAATTGGAAAAGTAGCAAAACAGTCACACAAATTACAATGAAAATTTGTCCCATCTTCAACATTGCCCAAAATGATGAGGGGCCGAAAAGAATGGGGAAGTGCGAGAGTACAAAACTTTCCCTTTTTATTATTCATATTTTTCCCATTTTTATCTCTTACCCATTTTCCTCATACATTGTGTGTATGTGTGTTTTTTTTTCCTTCTGTGTCGCTTAGTGGAAAATGTGTGTGTCTCTGAGACACACATGAAAGCAAAATTAATAATGCCAAACACAAATACCATTCTTCATTGTTGGAGGAGAATTCAGCGAAAGAAATGACTGCCTCGCAGGTTGTTGTGTATTCAAATTTTCATAAATCACAATAACCTAATCCTATATAAATTTCTGCATCGTCGTATCACGTACCGTTCATGGGCACACGAGGGTGGAGAGTAAATAAATTCTGCTACCCTTCCTTGCCTGCGGGGGTGGCGATGGTGTGGGCTAGCGATAGAAAAATGCTACACAATAGACTCAACATGGAGTTTCGAGGAGGTTGATCTGGCAATGTGGAGTGTTTTCTTGAGAAAATTCTTTTGAGGATTTATTCGGCACACCTTTGAACAGCCAATCCAGTAGCGAGAAAATCGCTTTTCTACTTATCAAAGCTGCGGGATTTGTGAATGCTCCCATGCCACGCAGGAGTGAGAGTGTTGATATTAAATATGACGAGCAGCATCAACAATGTAATCCATAATTCATCACTTTTTATCCCATAAATAAACTTGCATGCAAATCCAATTGCATCAACTTCTCCATAACGAAGACAATCCAATGGCGAAGCGTGTCAATTAAAGCACCAATGCTGCACAATGTTGAGCAAGAGTACAATGTTGCCTGGGATGGTCTCATTTGGAGAGTTTTTCATCCCACCCCCAAGAACACGTCCGGAAGCTGATGCTCTCAAGGCATGGCGAAGCATTTCATTTCTGCTCTGCTCCGCAACACATCCTTCCATCCTCGCCCGTACGTGTGAGACTGGGATAAATTCATTTATAGACAAAAATTCTCCTTAGGAGAGGAAAAATAAAATTTTCCGGGTGCTTCCATCACGCCCCATTGGGTTGGGCGGCGTGACGCACGATGGATGTGGTAGGAAAATGTGCAAAGAAGAGGATATAAAACATCCTGGGCGAGTAGTTTTGTCTGGCGAGAGCTAAAAGGCGGACTCTCATGGGTGGGTAAATGGTTAATACGGCAAATAGGCTGTAATTCAGTGGCTCTCTGAACACGGGAAAGCGTTTATCCCGTCGACGGGAAAATCAAATGAGTCCCACCCCTGAAGCATCTTGTAGCTGAGCAACAACAACACACATTTCATCCCACATATCACCGAAATTACTATATCTCGGGCGTCAAATTCATCTTTCATCACCTTTCACCACCACTCTAGACCGTCTCTGGGGCTGGTGGAGTGCTCAAGAGCAGCTTTATGACCGTGTTTCCCGGATTAGGCTGCAGGGAAGAAGCCAGTAACTGAATTGTGGGTCAGAATCTCGCCTCTAAATGAGACTGAAATGTGTGAAAAAAAAAATTCAATCTCAGAGGAAAACTGTTTATACAATTAATTCTATACTACAGAATATTTAGGGAAAATTGATATTACGGAATAGACTTTCTTAGATTCAATGATTAATTACTAGTTCGCAAGCCTTTTGCCGCCTCTTCGACTCGCATTTCACGCACTTTTCTCACGATATGCTTCAATGACGGCAGAGAAAGTCGCAATCTCGTGCCGTTGGAGACAATGGGGCGGAAAAGTGGCGGAAGAGGAGCGAAGAAAGGGGAGAGCGGCGCAAATTGGCGATTTTCGGAGGTTGTGTGACGTACGTGGTGTATCTTATCGCGGCTCATTCTTGTATTGTCTCCAAAGGCGCGCGAATTGGCTCGAAAATTTGCAATTTGAGCGACGTAATTTCTGGGCCTGACTTGCTCGCGCTTATCTTTCCGGCAGAATTTCCAGCGAAAGACAGTGAAAAACACTTTGTTCAGCATGAGATTTTCACGGGTGATAAATGCAATTTTCCTGTTGGTATTCCACATCAACAAAAAAAAAGAGGAAAGAAACGAGAGAGTCTCGATGAAATGATTTCTCTTGCTGGGTTGTGATTTCCGCAGAATTCCAAAGAGGCACAGATGGTGTACAGAATTCTGCCGCTTCATCGGTCGCCAAAAGGGTGGAAAAGTGTGTGGATCCTCAACTCTTTCCTCATGGCAAGCATGGAAAATTCATTGGCGAATGCGATGAGTTCTTATGGAGCGGAAAACTTTCTCTCGCTGCACTTTTGCACGATGCCAGATAGACACCAAGAGAGTCGTGTATAATCTGCTTTAAATGATAAAATGAAACACACGCATCGATGCAAATTCTCAACTCAGCGAAGGCGGAAACTTTCAACCCAGCAAAAGTTTCCCTAAAAACTTTCCCTGTGCAGGTTTCTCACCCTTCTCGAGAAGTCTGTAATTTATTCATTTTCTCCCTTGAGTTCTTCCTACGCAAAGCTGTGGTGACGTTGAGAAAAACCATCGCGATCCGGAAATGCTCAAGAGTGAGTGAAAATTGGGTTCTTTGGTAAATCCATCGATGATGCAATCGCATATTCTGAGTCAAGTTCATTAAAGTGACCACCTGAACAAGAATGTCTTGTACAATGTTTTCAGCCTTCTGGCGCCGTCTTTGATACAAATAACGCGATAGTCATGTGAGGTCAAGTTGTGATAACGTCTTCTCTATAAAACCATCCACAATTGCCACTTCCACAGTCATTTCGCGAGTGCCCTTCAACGACCGCGCTTGAAGGATGAATTTAGTGAGTTTTCTTGTGTGCCTGAGCCTGTTTGTCAGTGCTTTCGCGGCTCCCCAGCTGAGGAATGATGAGGAAGTTGAGGATCTCTTGCCGCTGGCGCAGAGCTGCGATCCCGCCATTTGCACGCCACCAAACTGCAGATGCTCCTCAACGCAGCTGGACGAGTCCATCCCTCGTGAGGACACGCCACAGCTCGTGATGATGACCTTCGATGACGCAGTCACGGCCCTCAATTTCGAGTACATTGAGGAGGCCTTCAAAGGACGAAGGAATCCCGACGGTTGTCCAGTGGCCGCCACGTTCTTCGTCTCTCACGAGTACACAGACTACTCCAAGGTCCACGCACTGTGGGCTGACGGCCATGAGATCGCTCTGCACTCGATCACGTGAGTTTTGGAATAGGTTCCCAAGCCCCGCCCACACTCATGCTCCGCCTACAATGGTAACTTCTGCTTAAAGTCACACGCCATCCACCGAATACTGGAAGTCACTGGACGTCGACACACACATTCGGGAGTTCGGCGAGCAGCGCGACATGCTGGCTCACTTCGCTGAGATCGATCAGGAAGATATCGTCGGTGTGCGAGTGCCGCATCTGCAGCTGTCAGGAAACAACAGCTTCGAAGCCATCAGGCGCTTTGGGGGACTCTACGACTGCTCTTGGCCAACGCAGCACTTCGTGGGCCCCGGAATGTGGCCCTTCAGCCTGGACTACACGTCCACGATGGACTGCCCCCTGGGCAACTGCCCCACAGCCTCCATCCCGGGAGTCTGGGTGGTGCCCATGCTTGATTGGATAGACACTGAAGGCTACAAGTGCGCCATGGTGGACACTTGCCCAAATCTGTGAGTTCTAGCTAAGTTCCTATCGCTTCTCGTGAGTCACACGCTTGATTCCTAGGCCTGCCGATGACGTCGAAGAGACCTTCGAGTGGATGAAAGAGAACTTCGAGAGGATGTACAACTCAAACAGAGCACCTTTCGGTGTATTTCTGCACAGCGCCTGGTTCTTGACCAGAGCCAGCAATTTCCCAGCTTACAAGATGTGAGTGTCTTTGATTGTGGGATTTGGAAGAGTGGATATATTTCCTGGGTGCTTTAGGTTTGTGGACTACATGAATTCCCTTCCGGACGTGTATCTCGTGAGCGTGTCGCGAGCTGTAGAGTTCACGAGGGATCCTCGGGCTGTTACAGGAACCAGTGCTGTTCCTCCGGAATTTCCTCTGGAGTCTGAAGAGCAAGAAGAGGAGGTCGCTCCTCAACCCCAACCACAGCCTCAGCCTCAACCTCAGCCCCAACCTCAGCCTCAACCTCAGCCTCAGCCAAACTCTGCACAAGAGCCCGAGCAGGAAGTAGAAGAGGAGAACGAAGAAGAAATTGAAGACGCAGAAGAGGAGGAAGTCGAAGGGGATGATGAGGAGGAAATGGAGTCTGAAGAAGAGCAGAACGAAAACATTGTGCCGCTGAGAAGGTCCAGGAGGCAGGCTCGTCCGAATTCTGCCTTCAATGAGTGCCAGGCAGTGCACGAGAAAACCTGTGTTCCGAAAGTGTGCCAATTGACAAAGACCTCGACTGGGGAGGAGCGCTGGATGACTTCTTGCGCACCCTGCCCAGCTGTCTACCCTTGGCTGGGAAATCCCCTGGGTCTCCGCGAGGTGCCACAGCCCGATGAGGACGAAGAGTAGTGGTCGCCGCAAATCACCGTCAAAATATCAATAAAGGAGTTATATGAAAAGAATTTGAGGGCTTTTGATCCCAATGCTGAAAATTGCCTTGCTGACAACCTTCAGCTTCCCCGAAGGCGAACCGCTCCGCAAAGTTCATACTGCATAAATCACTTTCTTGCCGATGTTAGGCTCGTATTAGTCTAAGTACGCTCCACAACCGCCCACAAATTGATTAGAGCCCGGTCTGATTAATATACGACGCAGAACTTTGCTGTCTGTGCGGCTAAGGTGGATGATTTGGGCCCCAATATTGGTGCACAACACGTGGAAATGCGGAGGCGGGCAGCATTTCCTCTGGGCCTGGAAGATGGAAGGCAAGAAATCAGTCGCCAGATGCAGGAAGACGATTCCTGGCACCATCCTATCGGCAACATCTGCTGTTTTAATAAATGTGTTTCTTATTGAATCTCTATCCTCAAAAAGTCTTCTTTTCCCGACGCCCCCCGAAGAGGGGGGTGGCAAAAGGTGGGGTGGAGATTGTCTCGCAAAGTTTCGCTGGAAAAAGTCCTATTTTGGTGTCACATGCCGAGCAACTCGTTGAATTTTGGCTCTCACATGTGAGGGAAAAATCCTAAACATCTCACTTTCAGTTGTGGGCGGATTTCCGCCCCCTTTTCCGCCCGCCAAGGAGCGAGAGAAATTGTATAAATTTTCCTGAGCTTGTTTTTTGGCGCTGCACTTTCCAATACGTCGAGTTTTGGCGCAAAGAAAAGGGGTTTGTTTCGCGAAAGTGAGATGTTTTCTGCATAAATTCATTCATGACACTCCGCATTTCCCACCCACCGTCGAGGTTTTTCCAGTGAGGGTGTCTAAATTGTTGCCTTTATGCCCACCCTGGGGACCGAGGGGCGGCAAGGAGGGAAAAATATTTTTCTCGGCCGAGAGAAGACACGTGAAAAATTGATTAAGGTGCTGAATTCCCAATGAATTCATCCCGAATGACGACAGTTGAGCTCCTGAGAAGTGGAAAAAAGGGGTTGATTCTCGGTGTTTGTCATTCGTCGACGGTGGTAAATTGCATTTTTTTTTCTCTCCTGTTTTACGGCCACAAGGCGACAAAAAGCGCCCCCGAAGATTCCGTCCAAAGACATAAAATCGTGTGCGCCTCAGAATTTTCCACCTGGTGAATTTTCAATATTCCTGGCCTCTCCGGAAGAGCCCGAAACGCCGGCAAAATGATAAACATTTCATTGGCGGCGCCCCAGGGTGTGGGTCAGATGTCTCACCGGAGGCAAATTACATATTTATTATTCTGAATGAGTTTTTCTGTCTCATTCGACTTTCACGGCGCTGCGTCGCGATTGTGCGACTTCATTATCATATTTTTAATTAACTTAAATCACTCTGAGTGACGCACGAGCTGGAGAGACCATGTCATTAATTATTACTCCTTTTCGCCACACGGCCCAGCAAACATCCGCCCATAAATCTCACCGGAGCATCTCTCAGGACTCCTTTCATCCTCACCTCGAGAGTCCTTCAGCCGAAGAGGCTCGAGAGGTCTCACGTGAGTGCTAATATCAGAACGGCGGCAATTCAGCGAGTCAATTGCCTTTTAATTTATGTCATTCCGAAGCAAAGAATTTCTCTATTCACTATTCAAAGGATTTCCCTGGAAAATCGCAGGCAAAATGCGAAGGACTCTCTTCAGAAACGTCTACTTCAGTCCAGGGTAAAGCGATTTTCTTTTTGCTCGGATTTTTCAAGGGAAAACTCACTACGATATCTCTAACCAAGCTTTGTGATTGCTCAATCATTTTTTGGATCGTATTTAAAGGTTGATTATTATTTTCTCTTAATATTGCTGCTAGATGGCAGCAGTGTAAAGGCACGTAGAATTTCCGATTGTATTTCCCAAACCGAATTCTTCTAAAAGGGTTAAGCTAACCGCAAGCTTTCAAAGTTGAGGTACTGAAGAGTAACAATTTCTTATGTAAATTCAAGCAGAAAATGCGTCTTTTCAGCTTTTCGGTCGGGATATTGAAATTTTCCGGAATTCCTGCGAGTGCGGCGCTGATAATTCTCATCTCTGGCATTGCGAGCGGGAAAGCCTTGGATGTATTTTTTCCCGTGGATTTTCCATTCTCATCGACTCTCGCATGCCATGTAATTGGCAACGAGTGCTGAATTTTAAATCACAACACCATTTGGCGCCATTTGGGGGCGAAAGGAGCAAAAGACGGGATGATTCCTCGAGTGTTGCGTGAATGACTGTTGATCGCTTTTGGGAGGAATGGATTGTGGGCGGGGGAGGGGAGTACAATCAAAATGAATTGCACTTCGTGTTGGTCCGTGGGTGGAAAATTGCTACATGATTGCTGGTTTGTCGTGCTATCTGATTGTGGAAAATTTTCTCTCTCTCTCTCTCTCCGTGGGCAACATTTTCCACTTCCCCACAAGCTCGGAATCACCTTCAGATTTTCGGGGATGTTGCTGGCATCCCTCGTACAACTCCATCCACTGCTTCATCGTAAATTCCCATGAATTTCCTCTTTATTTCCCAAGCTGGAAGAGAACAAAACATACTGCAAGACTTTTAATTAAAATTTATCATCCGAACTGACTTTCTGTATTATGCAATTTTTGCTATGTGAAATCCACTTGTTCATAGTTCTTGGCCACATCGCTTCTTCCTTTCCCGCTCAGTTTGTGGCGGAGATTTTGCAACCGATAGACAATATAATGCTCTGCCAGTCGGGGAAATATTAATACAGCAATTTTATTGAACCCACAAAATCACCCTCCTTCGCAAATTCATGAGTCTTTTCCGGGCAGCCACAAATTGGACCACAATCAGAGCCACTCTCTGATTTCCCGGCAGAAGTGAATTTGAGACGCTATTCCAGTGCGAATTGGGTAAATCTGTTGGTGAAATCGACTCGAGGAGCGGCTCAAGTGTTGCAATTGTGAGCCAATGTCAACATTCAAATCCCAATTTGTCGCCTTTAGACACGAATCACTCTCCGAATGGGGGGGAAAATCGACTGCGTTTGAATCACTCTGTTCACCTTTTTGTCCTTGTCGCCAAGGGTGGATTTGCCCTCCTCAGTCTTCAAGAGCTTTTCCATGTTTTATGGCCTGTGTGATTTTTTGGCAAAGATTCTTCCGCTGCATTGCGAAATTGTGGACATAGTCACACTTTTTTGCAGCTCCTCGATGCGTGAGCTCTTCCCAATATCCGCGTCATCTCTTCGCCCGCGCTCAACACTTTGCAACAAGTCACGATCGTGGCGGAAACAAATTTGTTTGAGTTGTTTTGCGTTCGTGTAATAACCGCCCGTCGAGCGGGAAAATTTCCATAGTGGGTGGGGGGGCGTGAGGGTCCCCGGATTGGGGACGGTTGGGGCGCCAGGGACTCTTTGAAATTCAATAAATATGTCAAAATTCTAAATTGGTGTTGAACGTGCGAAAAATATCCAAAGAGGCAAAATTACTCTTCATCCTTGGATGCTCTCTGTGTGCCATCCACATTGGAAAATGATAAAAATTTCCCTACAAATTGTCTCCCAGCCAGTGAATATTTGGGGAGGACGTGGCTGAGGCAGAAAGAGAGAGAGAGAGAGACTGAGAATATTTTGTCAATTTATAGGAGCTGCATTGCGTATCGCTGGGAGAAATGAACTTTTCGCCTGTTTCTCACTCACGCGCTTTCGCGCGATGTTCTTCCGGGTGGTTGGGGGCGAAGTGTGTGTGTGTCCTTGGCTGTGACACCGGAGGAATTATTTTGGGCGCAGAACAGAGAGAACATATCATTACAATGCGGGGAGACTCGGTGCCAGTGAAACATTGATGAAGCACATGAGATGAATGCCAAGGGGCTGCGCCGCCCTGGCAGTCGAAGATGTATAAAAATTGATTCATAAATAATAAACAAGTGTCGGGCAGGCGGAGTGGGACGCGCCGGGGCCCGCAAACTCGTGGCTGCACGAGACATGTCTTTGAGGGATTGATATTGGCGAGCGGCAGAAGAATGGAGTGCCTCGGCAAATTGGCAATTCGACCCCAATTTGAAGGATCACTCAAACTTGCCGCCGCCCGCCCACCCAAATTGGCCATTTGGCTCCCAGAAGAGGAACAATTTGTTCACTTGTATGTCGATTCATTGCCACATTTACATCAATTTCGCCGGGAAAATTGTGTTCAGATGCTCGGGTGTGCAAAACAAGTGCGAGAGACGGATGCAATAAATAATAGAGGAAAAGCCCTCTTTGCGCCCCCGGCGAGAAGGGGTGAACTGCTGCTGAAGGACACGTGATCGCACTTGGGCGCCTCTGAGGCAGAATTGAAGAAACACTCCAGCCGTGATAAGACGGCTGAGGTCGAATTGCAAGATGCTGATTTTGTCCTTTCCGATGGCGACCATAAAATCCTTCTGGTGTCCCAAAACTTCACCTTCGCCCCCGTAATTTCGCATGCAATTTTTGCTCCAAAGTGAAATATTCTGCTGTATCAGATATAAACAATTTTCCCACCCCCGCACAGCGACACAAGCATGTGTGTCTTGCTCAAGTGTGGGTAAAAAGCCATGAGGTGACATCAATATTTGCTGTCTTCGCGCGGAGAGAGTGAGAAACTTTAATAAAACAAGGGAAACAAACAACAGTGGCGACCATAAAAATTTTAACTTCGCCACCCCTTCGACGAGGCAAATTGAAGGATGGGAATTTTTGCCATGTTCAGAAACTATACACATTTTTTTAGAGTCACGTCCTCTGAAAATTGGCAACACACTTTATGGACTGAACAAGAAGCGGGACAGGAGTTTTCCACTCACACCACAAGTCTTTCCCATTCGACTTTTTTCCCCCCGAAGCACGATCCGTGGAGGCTCTCGTGTGAGGAAGGAGAGAACAGAGCCGCACAGGAGAACTAGGACATTTTTCTAGATAAAATATTTATTTGAATTCATTTGTAGCAATTTACTGAGCCAATGTAGCCATTTGTATACAGATTTTGGC